TTTTTTTTTTTTTTTTTTTTTTTTTTTATCCCTTATTAAAAAAAAAAAAAGGTTTTTTATTTTTATTTTTATTTTTATAATATACCCATTTTTATTATTTCTTTTATTTGAAGAAATATTTAATTGTTTTTTGGGAGGTTGACTTTTGAAAATGTCAAAGGCCGGAATTCAATTTATTAGCAAAAGAGGAGAGAGAAATAAAAAAAGGTGTGGATTTTGATAGGCTGAGGCTACACACGCTGCAATCTTGGCTCGTACAGACAAAAAGAGTCATTATTTTTCATTTTTATTATTAAAAAAATGTATAATTAAATTACAATTTAGTTTCATAATTAAATTTTAAAAAAAGTTAGAATTTTGTATTTTGAAATTAAAGTTTAAAATTTTATTTATAAAGTTTTATTAAATTAAAATATGAAATTATTGCCATAAACTATTAAATTTATAATTTAATTTAATGTATATTAAGGAAAAAAAAAAAAGATGAATTATGGTTGTGTTAAGTTTGTAATGGTTGTGAATCAACCTGAAATTTCAACTTAATTGTTTTTGTTGAGTACTTCGGACCTAATCGTATTATTAGGTCATATGAACCCTTCTAAATAATTGTCGGTAAATAATTGAATAAAACTTTTTTCCTATTCATTTTTAGAAAATATATTTATGATATCTTAGAAATATTTAAAAACAATTAAATTGATATAAAATTAAAAACCTTCTAATTTCATATTTTATAAGTTTAAGAATTTTTTAAAATATTAAATAAAACACAAAACTAAAAATTAATTTTTTTTATTAAATAGAGGATAAAAAGAATAAAAATAAATAAATAAATAAACCTATTAAGCATTATTTTTTTTAAGTTAAAAAATGAGTTGGAAGTAATTTAAGCTTTTATATTATTATTATTTGTAGATTCTCGTATTTCTAGATAAATTAATGACATAAATACGTTTTTTTTATATAATTTAAACCCAAATTTGGTCAAACTCATTTATGTATATATTATATATAAAAACCAANGCGGCGGAGGTCATGGCGGAGTAGCCTCTAACGACGGCGTGAAGATCCCAATCAACTTCCATTTCCATAGACAAAAACTGAGCTCTGAAAAAATCTGTACGTTTCTCTCAGCTTCTTGTTCAGTTTTGTTGAGAGAGAAAAAGAAAGCAGACAAAAGAGGTCGCTGACTTTTGGAGATAAGGCTGTAATGAGTAATGAGTAGGAAAAAATTAAAAGGAAAAAAACAATTATTTATAGAAACCAAAATGAAGAGATAGAAAGAGAAAGTTAGGGCTTTTTTCTTTTTTCTTTTTTCTTTTTTCTTTTTTCTTTTTTTCTTTTTAGAGAGAGAAAGAAACAGGTGGGTGGTGGAGGAGGGCATCTCTATGCTTTTCTTTTTTTTTTATCCCTTATTAAAAAAAAAAAAAGGTTTTTATTTTTATTTTTATTTTTATTTTTATAATATACCCATTTTTATTATTTCTTTTATTTGAAGAAATATTTAATTGTTTTTTGGGTGGTTGACTTTTGAAAATGTCAAAGGCCGGAATTCAATTTATTAGCAAAAGAGGAGAGAGAAATAAAAAAAGGTGTGGATTTTGATAGGCTGAGGCTACACACTCTGCAATCTTGGCTCGTACAGACAAAAAGAGTCATTATTTTTATTTTTATTATTAAAAAAATGTACAATTAAATTACAATTTAGTTTCATAATTAAATTTTAAAAAAAAAGTTAGAATTTTGTATTTTGAAATTAAAGTTTAAAATTTTATTTATAAATTTTTATTAAATTAAAATATGAAATTAAATTTATAATTTAATTTAATGCATATTAAGGAAAAAAAAAAAGATGAATTATGGTTGTGTTAAGTTTGTAACTCTTGTGAATCAACGTGAAATTTCGAGTTCATTGAATTAAATGACTCAAGCAATTTGAATAGAGGCCACAACCCAACTCGGGTTAAGTTGGGTTGTAACTAAAATGTTATAACAAAACCTTTTTTTTTTAAGTACGGTTTGGTTGCAACCACTATTTCGTGTAGCAACCCAAGTTTACCACTACCAAATATTATTCTCTTCGAGCTTTTCCTTTCAGCTTCCTCTCAAAGTTTTTAAAACGTGTCTGCCTGCTAGAGAGAGGCTTCCATACCTTTACAAAAAATATTTCGTTTCCCTCTTCAACCAACGTGAGATCTCACATGGTTGCGTCATCTCAACTTGCAAACCAAANAAAAAAAAAGATGAATTATGGTTGTGTTAAGTTTGTAATGGTTGTGAATCAACCTGAAATTTCAACTTAATTGTTTTTGTTGAGTACTTCGGACCTAATCGTATTATTAGGTCATATGAACCCTTCTAAATAATTGTCGGTAAATAATTGAATAAAACTTTTTTCCTATTCATTTTTAGAAAATATATTTATGATATCTTAGAAATATTTAAAAACAATTAAATTGATATAAAATTAAAAACCTTCTAATTTCATATTTTATAAGTTTAAGAATTTTTTAAAATATTAAATAAAACACAAAACTAAAAATTAATTTTTTTTATTAAATAGAGGATAAAAAGAATAAAAATAAATAAATAAATAAACCTATTAAGCATTATTTTTTTTAAGTTAAAAAATGAGTTGGAAGTAATTTAAGCTTTTATATTATTATTATTTGTAGATTCTCGTATTTCTAGATAAATTAATGACATAAATACGTTTTTTTTATATAATTTAAACCCAAATTTGGTCAAACTCATTTATGTATATATTATATATAAAAACCAAAATATAATAAAAGAGAGATTAAAAATATGGTTTGACTTTTGTTTTGAACACATGGAAGTAATGAAGGCCTTTGATGGCCATTCATTGGGGTTTGTAATTCGACTTTTGTTTTGAACACATGGAAGTAATGAAGGCCTTTGATGGCCATTCATTGGGGTTTGTAATTCATTAAGAAACTAATTATGACTTCTAAAATTTGTGTAAATCCATATTATGATGGAAAAATGTTAATTATGCTACATTTTAGTTTCTCTCTCCCGGTGAGATCATACCTTGGTCGGTGAGAAAAAACGTATTTTTTTTATAAGGGTGTGAAAGTCTCTTTCTAATAAACGCGTTTTAAACTCGTAAGATTGACGGCGATAGATAACGGGCCAAGGTGAATAGTTTTTGTTAAGGGTGGGTTTTGATCATTACAAGCGGTATCAAAGCCGGACATTGAGCGGTGTACCAGCGAGGATGCTGGCTTCCCATGGGGGTGGAGATCGTTAAATCCCACATTGGTTGGAGAGAGAACGAGTCGTTCTTTATAAGGGTGTGGAAACCTCTCTAAGTTTACATGTTTTAAAACTGTGAGGCCCTAACGATATGCATCGGGGAAAAAACGGATCATATCTGTCAGCGGTGGACTTTGACTGTTACACTCCTTTTTTTTTTTCTTTTTTATTATTTTGGGTAATAAAATTTTGCAAAATTTCTAATCATGTAAGAATATTCATATGATCAGATAATTTGATCATTCTCGACTATCCAACCCTAACGATAAAGGTTGGGTTGAGTTGAATTTTTTGAAAAACGAAAAAACACGAAAAAAACCAAAAAAAGCTCTGTTCTCCCTCTCTATCTATCCAAGGGATGAAAGTGCAGAGGCCTTTGGTGTTCCCGAGTCAAGAATTGGGGTCTCACATTCACTAGCCAATATGTTTTTCTTCATCCATGATTCAATATTCTGGTGTTTAGAGGAACCACACCAATCCATCCCAAACTTGGTGGTTAAACTCTACTCGACCACGACGATACCATAGGGGAGGGGTTGACATTTTCTTGATTGAGTCAACCTAACCACTAAAAAATATGGTCACATCTCAACCCCTACCCTGAGATTGAAAATATTTGACATTTGTAACTGTGGCTCGTGTGATATTTGAGATTTTCTAGATTTTAGTTATTAATGCCATGTGGATAAATAGTTTTTTTAATTAATTAATTTTATTATATATATATATATATATATATATATATATATATAAATAATAACAACCTAAGAACCAGTCATGTTGTATTGGATTTGGTTGTAAACTCTATTCGAGTTGCTCGAGTTATCAAGTCAACCAATTTTAGTTCAAAATTTGATAAAAATATATTGATAAATTGATTAATAAAGTGATAAAGAATAAATTAACACAAATTATAAATTATAAATACTAAATTAATTTGGACTATTTTTTCAATTAAACAAATATTTTAGGTAAAAATTTGAATTACTGACTTCAAGAAAAAAAAATTAATATATAAAGGTAAAGAAATTATTATTTTATTATTATTTTTTATTTTTATTTTTTCTATACCATTATAACGGTTCTTTTTTATTAAAAAGACAATCTTATCCCTAAACTCGCTCGGCTCACTCCAAACGACTATAACTTAGTGCATTTCTCAATTATGCATGCTTAAGATCACAAAAATACAGTTTTATCTCTTGGTGATACTAAGAAACTCATCAAGAGAAACAATTATCTCGATCTCATTTTTGTTGTCGGGAGAGAATGTCCCTCTTGAAACATACAGTACGTTAGGAGAAGCTATCTTTTCACGAAGACGTAAAATTTTCGTTTTAAGAAGGTTTCTCTCGTGTCGATCTCTCAGCTTCTTCTAACCTATTTATCGTCGATTGACTTGTGATATTATTATCTCAAACCCTAATAAACCGTACAAGATAAGGAACTTTGGATTATGCTTCGTGTATCGTAGATTGACTATGTTCTTTATCGTCGATTACGCTTCGAGTATCGTAGATAAGGAACTTTAGTTTAATCCAATT